GCGATAAACGAGGGATTACTGTAATCGTTGCAGCCCTAACGCAGACATGTTATTCTTAAAATGGGGAACAGGTGTTTCACCCCAATAGTGCTGCATCTTTTTGCAACATGTCCGTGTGCTGGTGTTGTGACTTACATGTTGTTCATGCAATCCGGCCTTCAAGCGGCCTTCACCCATTATTAATATGCATTTATAGTTCAAGTGTAATTTCATTCTAGCGTAAGCGTGCATGATTATATTTTAATACTCAACAAATCACATCGTGTTAAGTTTTCTGATTTGTATTTCTTATAAATTATTTATTGTTCCGAGAGTCCCTTTAAACATCTTTTGGTTCACTTTATTTTTAAAAGGCCTGTTTGGCAGATGTGAAGCATACATATTTTTTGTGTTAATCCATTTTCCTTTTCTTTTTAATTACTACAACCTGTTTGTTTCTGAAGATTTTTTGCACGTTCATTTTTTCAGTTCTGAATAAAGGGTTGGAAATCAAAGCTTTGATGTTTGTCTTTTTATCCGATCCATCAAATAATCAACAGATTAATCGATTATTAAAATAATCATTAGTTAAAGCCCTTTGGAGAAGCTTTGCCCGTTGCCATGGTTAACAAAAACAGTACCGGAATGTAATGCTCGGTGTTGTTTTTTAATACGTGCATCACCCCAAAAATCTCACATGAAATAAGGAATAATAATCTCCTTTTTCATTAAGCATCAATATTCTCATACAGATATGCAACTGAGGAAAATCTGAACATTTTCAAAGCTACATCCACGAGGTAAAGGAGGTGCCCCGAGCTCAGTCCCAAACGCGCATCGCTATTCTAAATGATCACGTCAAGTGATTGTTTCACTATTTGCTGCGGCCACTTTAACAGGCTGATCGCTGGGAGTCTGTAACCATGAGCTCCACTTCCTGCTTCCTGCAGCTAATCTCAGTTAAAACAAATGAAAGAAATAATAAATCTTGAGGAGTTATGATTTGACACGTTGACCACCAGTCGGCCACCAGAGTTTATCCTTCGGCGCTAACAAGCAAACAGTGAGAAAACAAACAGAGCAGCTGTGAATGTGCGATTCGCCCCCCCTGCACGTCTCACAAGTGGGGTTTCCCAATTTGTCCCAGTGTCCCTGAAGGTGTCCCATTCGCCCAGAGCACCTGGGGCTTCTGGGTAATAAAAGCTCTACTCCAGTGATGCTCACATGGACTCATCGTTTACGCCGCCGTTTGACAACTCAACACACAATTCATCACGACCTTTACCGACTGACACACTACGTAACTGTAGCTACACTTCATCGCAACGAATACTTTTCATTCACCATCCAGTGTGTCGCGGCTCAGGGGGCGGGTCAACACGGCGCGAATGTGGTGTCGTCAAATGGATTACATTAAATTTAAAATGCAGAAACTGACTTGTGTCATTGCTTGTTATTGTTTGGAAGGTCCCACTGCACACGCTGGTCACACACTGTTTACAGTTTCCCTGTACAACTGAAACACAGTAAAACACTCGCTCTCCTTCTGGCTCCAGGGGGGGAACTGAAAGAGAGAAAAGCAACGAAAGGCCCAGATGGGAGGGGCAGAGACATTCTATTAAGAAACTAAGCCTTTTAATCAATAAAGAGATAAAAGATATTTTAATCAAAGACATATTTCCTTGTTTGTCTAATGCTTCTGCCGCCACCGTGCACATAATCTTTAAATGCTGAAAAGGATGCATAATGCTCTTCCAGGGAGCCACTCATCCATATAAACACAAAACAGGAGCAGTCAGCAGAAAGGCACACCGGCCCGGCCCGCCGCACAGACACTCCATAGACGCCAAATCACATTAGGATGGCCATATTAAGGGGAAATTGCATCCTGTAAACTAGAATATTATTTCTACGCACAACACACTGCTTGCACGCGCACACACACAAACAAACCATTTTTCCCTGTGCTCACGACTCAGTAACAGATCCATACGCTTATTGTTTTGTGCATGTAGACACACACACAACTGGGAAACACAAAGCGCGGTGCTATTAGTGTGCGGGCTGTTTGTCGGACATGCAGGCATCCGCGAGCCGCGGCTAAAGCGCTGCAACGAGATTAGCCGGGTAACCGGAGCTCCTCCCGGCCCACCGGGCGGAGCGCACAGGGGGGGGGGGCTAACAAGTCCAGAGGTGGTGGGCCGGCGGGATCGGGTTCCAGGAGCTAATGGGTCAAATACCAACTGACATTTAATAGAGTGATAAAGTGTGCACATTTAGGTGTCCGTGTGTGTGTGTGTGTGTGGTTAATCCACCTTTACATTCCAGTATATGAACAAGTTCTCTATTTTATTTTGTTGTGTGTGTGTGTGTGGGTGGGGGGGGGGTCGGCGCTGGCACACTACTTGCAGAGTTTCGCCCCCCGTCTGCCGAGCAGCTCCAGTAATAGTGATTCATGCTGTCCGTCAGGCCCCCTGACAGGCCGGGTTCGATCCCCCGCTCAGCGCGCTGCGGCGGCGATAACAGCAGCCGGGGCGGCGGACATCATCATAACTGCTGGGGGAGTGTTGGGATGCTGACATATTGATCGGCCTCCCTCAGTTAGGAGATTTGATGGATTGACCTCGGGCTCGTGACTTTAAACGGTTAAAAGGGGAGGGGGGGGGGGGTGCGAATCGGATAACGAGAAAACAAAAACAAAGGGATATTGTTTTTATTTACGGATAAAACTAAAGTGGTTTAAGGGTTACATCTTTATCCTCTGTGATATAAAAAAGGTCAAATATCCTTTGTGCAGCTTAACAGTTACTATGACTGTTTGTATTAAAAGATTCATTAACACAAGAAAAATGTATTTGTTAAAATACCATTAACACACTTATTATATATTTACGCCTCTCCTCTCTTGTTGGTTTCTGACGAGTCGATCACGAGAGCTCAGAATTTAATTTTTTTTGTTTTTAAAAGACTCTGTATAAGTTTAAATCCAACATGTAGAATGCCATCTTTTGAAGAAATGTCTTAAGATACGTTCACCATTAATCTTGATTAATGGCAATTTTAAAACATGCGATTAATTAGTTCATTTTAATCTAGTTCAAAGGAACCAGAAATGTTACAATAATGGCTTTTCTCAGTCCCATCTCATAGCAGAATAATAAATATAACAGGCAAATAGACCCGATATAACATCCATGATGCATCATTCCTCACTCCCTGCCCCCATACCAACTCATCAGAGCCCTCGGCTTAGTCGAAACACCGAGCCGCGTCCTCCGGGTCGGGGGGGCCTGTGGGGCCTGTGGGGCTCGAGGGCCAGGAAGGACCAGAAAGGGTACGGCTCACACTAACGACGGAGGAAACCGTGTCCGGTCGGCTGGAGCCTGAGACGGGGCAGCAGACGCCGGCACCATTGTTCTGCCGAGGCGCTGACAGAGGGTGATTTAGGACCGGGGGTGCCCGGGAGCGTACGGGGAGGGGCAGGGAGGTAGGGAGGTCAGGGAGACGCTCCACAGGCAACCCTTCAACAATCCTACCAGAGCCCCTCCATCCATGAGATGGCAGAATGAATCATGGCCGACCCAGCAGCGAAGCCCGGGCCCGTCTCTCCACCACCCCTGACCCCCTCCATCGACCCCCTCCCCTCGCTGGACAAACATGACAAATCTGGTGTTTATTTACTTAAAATGGCCGGGAGAGAGAGCGAGGGAGTTGGGGGGGGGGGGGGGGGCAGATAAAAACTGTGTAAAATCAATACAGAGTTAGTAGCTGCTGCTGCTGCTCCTTCCTGTCTGCGCGGCTGATGAGGAGGCAGGTGGGAACGAGACGCAGGTGCTTCCAGAGAAACGGAAACCGCAGCAGAGAGAGAGCTGGATCTAGAAACATCCTCGTGTGACATCCCACCCAAAGTTGCTCCTCATTTCTGGTGCGTTTTCCTACGAACAAAGATTTATTTTCACAATAAACTTCCATCTTCATCAGAAACTCTGTTATGTTCAGGCAATAAAACCGCTGCGCTATGTTTAGGAACAGATCCTTATTTGTGTTGTGAATGCATGTGAAAGATACGCTCACACGGGCTCACACCACCCACTGGATTACGTTGACATCATTCCGAATACGTTTGTGGGCTTTTTACGAAACCCGGTGTGTTCCTTTTGGTAGATTTTTTTCTCTGCGAATGCTGGATGAGACCAGCCCGGGGGACGAAACACACATGTTGAACATTGAACAGTGACACGTACAAAGAAAGGGGAGAAAACAGAGTCTAGGCTGCGGGTGATGTATGTGCATCGCCGGAGACGCGCGGGACATAATTGGTCTTCGAGTTTGGAGTCCAGACAGCACAGCATTGAGTCTACAGCGCCTCTGCTCTCGCCCCATGACAGGGAGAAAACAGATAAGCCTTGCTCTCAGAGGAGGGTGGGGGGGGCAGAAATAGCAGCGGCGAGCTGTCAAGGTTTCTGTCATATCCTACATCACGTCAGCCGCCCATTCCATCCCAGGCCAACTGTACGCGCTGCTGTGGCCAAGGATGAAAGTGCTGGAAAATGGGACTCATTGTAAACCATTTTTCTGGCCCAGAGCCCCCCCGTCCCCGTCCCCTCCATCTCCACCCCTCTTCTGCCCGACTCCTCTTGAAGACAAATGGGTCCAGGGCAATGACAGAGTGCCTGGTCCACAAATCACCAGCGGCCGGCCCGCTCGTCCGCAGCTTCCTCCTCCCCCGCTGCACGCGGCTCCGCCCCTCCCCGTCCACGGCCCCTCCATTAGTCATGTGCACGCAGGCAGCAGCCAGCAGCCGTAATTAGACAAGGACAAATCGACGGCCGCGGACACGGACGAGTCCGGCCGCTAAATAAGGCCCCGTTTCCATACCGACCGGTGGGCGGCGAGTGGGGCCCTGGAAAGAGGACCCGGGATGTGTGGGACAGAAGGGGGGGGGGGGGGGCGGTACTGTCCAATACAAGCCGCGATCCTCTTGGCCGGGCCGAGCCTGGCATCTGATTTATTATCCTGCAGACCCGTGGCTTGAACCCAAATCTCTCGGGACGGATCGTATCGGCGATCGGAGCCACAGGAGCCCGGGTTGCGTCGGCATGAAGGAAAGAAAAGAGCAAAACAACTTAGATCCCCATCACGCCGTTCCAGGGGATCTACCGTGTCCAATGTTGTTCGTTAAAACACCTGGTCCATGAGGCCTCAGAGTGTAAACCATCAGAAATCCTAAATGTCCTTCTTTTACTTTGATGAAGTCCACCAATCAAATGATTAGGAAACCTGGAGCGCCATCGTAAGCAAACATTCATTTCATGGATCTCAAAGCAGCGCTGAAAGTGTCAAATCCAAGACGGAACACGGAAGCCGAAAAACGGCGGTTCGTGTTTCAGGGAAAGGGCGAGGCGGAGAGCTCAGCCAGGCCGCCATTACACCGCCTGTCAGCGCGGCTCCGCTACGTCACTTGTTCTCGTGGTGGTCAAACGCTAAATAAATAAATGAAGTCAGCAAAGCAATAAAGGGCAATAAAGAGGTTTCAGGGTACATTAGGTGTAACATTAGAAGTCGGAATTAGCAAAAACGAGAAGCCATCGAATCAGATTACGCTTTGAAAACCGGCAGTCAACAAAATATAAATTACAGCCATGTGAGGGTTGAACAGGCCGAATCCACAGAGGAGTATCAGTAACAATTGCTTTGGCCGGGTCAGAGCTGCAACACACTCCCTCGGCAGTAGCTGACCGACACACACACGCACACACACGCTCCACCAGAGCAAAGCTTATTGATCTGCCTCCTAATTTCTAAATGAGTTTTTATTGGATTTCATAATCGTCATCACGACACATCAAAAGAAACTCAAAACCCCGGCAAGATTTTCTGCTCTCCTCGACAGATTTATTTCCTCCGAACGGTGAAAAAGACGCCATGTATTCAATTCAGAGTCCCCAGCTGTGAGCGCGACCCTTCTTATTTATTTATTTATTTATTCTAAACCTCCTCCTTGGACAGCAAACACTGCACAAACACACAGTTTCTCCCATGTGCAGTAACTGATGTTTAGCATCGCACATTTTCTGCATGATCTGCTGCTATTTGTCACACTTCTCTGCTCTCCCGCCTCGGTTCTCCTCACTTGTAGCGCTTGTTTTAAAAAAAAAAAAAAAAACACAAACACACGCAGAGGAGAAAACACTGACTCCGGTCACCCGGCGTTTTTAGCATCTCCGGCGGCACCACCCGGTCCGTCCTCCAACATCGGAAACCTCCCACATCCTGTGAATGGCGCCGAGAGCTGGAGCTGCTGAACGTTTGCGTAGTGTTGTCCGTCTCGTGGTGAGAGACACGGAGAGCAGAGCTGATCGGGAGGAGGCTCAGAGACAAAAGGACATCCGATGTCCTCGTTCGCGCTCCGTTCATAAAGAAGCAAAAACGGCGACGGGAGGAGATTCTTCAGTAGAGTAACGGCCCTGCGTACCGCGGGCCTCGACTTCCGCGGAGAAATCTTTGTGCACCATCTGCTGTGCCATAAAGGAGGAGAAAGGCGGATCAGGAAAATAAAACCGTGGTATGTGTAGACATTTCCTGTCTATTTACGCCACCGCGCCGACGCTAAAAACGCGAGTAAGAAGGCGGAATAATACTAAAAGCCTCCGTTTCTGTTCTTCAATGCACTCCTTAAATGCCGACTGCCAGATGTTAATCAGCCACAACGACTGATCCCGCTTCGTTCCCTTTGTTATGGCCCATTTTGAGACAGAACCTGTGGCGTGATGACACCAACGCAGCAGCTTTTAAATGAGAGCGGATGAAGATAAAGAGTGAAGGAGACTGAGAGACGTCGCCATTCTTATTGTTATTGACAGAAAAAGGGCCAATAACGGCTGATGAGGCAATCCGAAAAACTTCCAAAACTTCAGACTCCTTCACTTTCTCATTGATGTTATTTCATATTTAATTAAAACAAGTTCTCTGTTTAGAACACTAATCCCCGCTATGGCAGATTGAAAAGACAGTTTGGTATTTTCACCTGGATACTTCTACGTTTACCAAAATGAAACCAATAAAACTGAAATGATTCGCTGTGCCACTGCTGACAACGTTTGATCACCGCTGAGATTGGGAACAAACTCACACATCTGGCTACATACAGCTGCAGACATTCCACCAGCTCGCACCTAAAGATGCTAACGTGGCTCATAGTGCAAACCGAGGTATGAAAACTCACAGATTATATACATAGAAAGAGAAGTTTCTCTCCCTCTTATCTCAGCTTCTTCTCACCAGGTTGCTGCTTTTACCACAATCCTCCTTGTTGGTACAGGTGAGTCCAGCCCAAGGGAGCCCTAACTGCCCCCCCCCCTTCCATCACATCCACCCTCAGGACAGAAGAACCAGCTTAAATCCCAGTGAAGATGTTTTTGGCCTTGATCACTGTGCCCATCGATCCCTGGCTGATTCCCACTCAGATACGTCTTATTTTATTAGTGGCCTCGGCCTTCTGCCGGCCCATTCCCCTGTGATCAATACCGCCATGTGGATGGCCCGTATTTTTCTCACTTTTAGTGCCTTAACGCTGTTTAACCGTGTCACCTGATAAAACGACAGGGCCTCCCCCAAACACTGATTTCCTATCGATTTCCCCGTCATTCGGCCATCCCTCCCCTTCGGCACTGTCCCATTGTTTTTATCTCCAGTTATCGCTCTCGTCGTCACACCCTTCCACCCCAACCAACTTAAGCGGAGATGGAGCGGCCAGCCACTCCACCATTTCAGCCACAGACCCGTTCTGTTAGGAGTCAGCTTAGGTCACAGTAGTGGTGTAACGGATGGATCCCCCCCCCCCCACCCGGTTCATTAATTACACAGTTTAACCCTCGTAAAATAAAGTTTGACTGACGATCGATATTCAGTTAAAATACATCATCGGCAATTATGCGTTGGCTCATAATTTCCCTGTCAACTGACAAGAGGGTGAGTTAGCGTTAGCAGCAGTGCTAACAGCGAACAGTGATGTGTGTGTGTAATCTTGGAAAATTTAGTTATGGTGAGTTTTCAACCGCAGTATAAAATAGATATTCAATTAAATTAGTGCTTAATGTTTAATTACGCTTAATTGCATAATTTTATGCAATTAATCACATTATGTGCAAAATTCAACAATACATTCAAGAGCATTATATTGTGCACGTATTTTAAAAGTACCACATATGAAGTGCAGCCTTAAACTAAGTTGTTTTCAACAGCAGTATTCCCTTTACACACCTGCAGTTATAGACGGAAGAGCCAAAACCCTTCAGACTCCTTCACTTACTCATTTATGTTATTTCATTTGATTAAAACTAGTTCTCTGTTTAAACAAAAAAACACTACAGGAGAATTTGGTATTTTCACCTGGTGGATTAAAGAGTCACAATCATAACGTTACAACAGGCAAGACAACATTGATAAATCTGAACCAGCATAAACATGTTTATTTTATTAGGAAGCAGCATAAACAATCTACCAATAATCCACCCATCCATCAATAATGGATCTATAATCTATGTAGCGTCGCTGAACAGCTGGGATTTAATGATCAGGGACACCTTTTAGTGTTTGTAGTGGGTTTCCTTTGGAGAACCTCACTTTCTCAGAGGCAGTTTATAAATAACAAATAAAAATGGAAATGTCCAAAGACTTCAGTAGCTTTCTTCATTTTTCTGTCCCCTCCAGTTCTTTTATGTCCCGCCCGTCCAAGGCCACTACTGGTCAACTAAATGTATAAATATGCAAATGACGATAACAAAGTTAAAGTATTATAACCACGAGTTCTGTCATCCACTTGCACAGGAGGTGTGGATCCCCTCTTAATCAGAGCTACCGAAATATTATCACCAAAAACCCACCTGGTTCACATTGTTACCAATCCAATGTGGGGAAAAAAACAACTGCAGTACTCGTGCCGATAAAGTCGGTTTGCGTGTCTTTTTTCCCATCATTACCCACCAAACGGCCCACACGCAAACAGCGGTGGAGACGTATTCGTGTGCACGCAAGCATCTGCAGAGCAAAATACGGAGAGCACCAAGCAACAGATGCTACGACAACCTGGAGGGAGACAGCTCCATCCATCATCCGCCGAGGTCCTGATGATCAAAGCCGGGTTTGGACTACGGAGGAGGAGGAGGAGGAGGAGGCCCCGGGAGCTGCAGCAGGGCCACGCACAATCCATTTAAAGGGCTTTCCATCGGGCTATAACTGCATAAACACATTCGATATGAGTACAGAAGATGGCAGAAATGTTTGTGGAATTAGATGAACAGCAGCGATGAAGAGACACGATTAGGACCGAAACGCAAAAGATGGAAAGATGTGTGGTGGGTCCAAGACGTCGGAGAGAAGAAAGAATCAAACTGCTGTCTGGCCGCACTTACTATCAGCCTCTTTCCCCTCACACTGTACATTATTTATGCAAAATGAAACCTGCTCGTATTCCTGCTCAGTCTGGCTCATCCACTTAGTTACTTCTGAATTGATCTCTCATCTAAGGCACTTCTGTAAATCCGGTCTGTTCCTCTCAGCCTCGCCGCCATTAATGCCATTAAACATGGCTCCCTTATCACCAGATACTCTGAGGATGTCTGGAGCGCTCCGGATTACCGACTTATAATACAATCATCTTATTGCCGTAAAACTCCTGTGTTTGTGTCTCATCGTAAATCTGTGTTGTCAAAGCACGTTTTTAAAAACTCCCATAAGAGATAAAAATTAAAAAAAATTTTGTCTCTGGAAAATATTTTCCAGAGACAAATGGTCCACGCGTGAAGTCTGAATAAGTAAACCGACCGCGTGAGCGTCTGTTATGGAATCCGATAACGTGACCTGGCATCCCGCCGTCGGCCCCCTCGCCCTTTACAACGGGTTAAGTGATGAATTGACGTTTACAGCACAGCCTGCCAAGTAACACGGGGTGCAGAGCACACTGAGAAACTGAGCGTGAAGTAATAACGAGCGAGTGGGCAAGAGCCGAGATTTCCTATTAACGCGAGGGGGAGAGGAGCTGAAAGGGGTTGTGGGCTTCACCAAAGCGCCGGTTCTTCTAGGAGAAACCCCCCCCCCCGCCCCGTCTCTCCGACACGGGAGAAGCTTGAGCACCAGCTAGCGGTGGTGGAGCTCCACTGCCGAGACGCCCCGCACCACCCGACACATTAATCATGACCAGGGGAGTGTAAAATTCAATCGGCTCCTTCCATCCATTTCATGTGAAGCAGACTGAAGGCCGGCCTTGTAGTGCCTGAGAAAAGGAAAGGCTGGGGGGGGGGGGGGGGGGGGGGGGGTTGGAAAAGAAAGAGGAGCTCCCTACACTTCATCAGAACCCCTACTTCATAACAAATGGAGTGTCTCTCTGGCGGAGGAGTGCCATCAGAAACGCGCCTTCTCTCTATCCATTTAATCCCGGCGGTGGAGGAAGGGTCAGGGAGGGAGCGCCTTCTGCTCTCCGCTCGCCGCTTCCCCAGTCACACAGTAAACTACCTTTTAGGAATTGTTTCTCAATAAGAAATGATCAGTCCATTTATCTGCACCAGGCGGGCCTGTCTCCTCACCCAGACCTCCAATATTTTTCGTTTGACCTGATCAGGGCTATAAACTAGACCGAGGCACTTTCAATTTGTCACCCGAGGAGGCCTCCTGCGAGTCCCGTGCTACTGATTGCATCCTCCCTCCCTTCAAATGTAAAAATTCCTCCCATGCTTGAAATCTTCTTCTTTTTTCATGCATACAGCCACTTGAAAAAAAGAGCCTCTTCTTCTTGCTGTTAAGACAAAACCTTGTTCACACCCGCACAACGTGTGCAGAACACAACGTGATATTGTGTTAATGAATAAAGTCAGACATTTAAAACATTATTTAGAATAATGGGAAATAATTAACTACTCCCGATTTTCATTTTATAAATAATTTTAACAGACAAAAAAGGACACTGAGTAACTACAAATATTATTCACTTATTAACTGCACATTCTATCCAATCTAAATGTTAAATACACGCATGTTACTTTTAAAGATAATATGGATGTCACAATCCCTTTGCCACGATACAAGCTAGGCAGGATACGCTTAGATGTCCATGATTCCCAGCAATGACGTCCTGATGCTCATTACTTTGCTACATAACCCTTTATAGAGAGAATTATAGATGCAAAGGTGAAGCAGATACATGTTTGTATTTGCTAAAAGAAAGCCATTTACGGGGGTCAATAAAGAGTCAAAGAAACATGCATTTCTGTCATATTATACGACTATCTCTGCGGGATGAAGTCTGACACACTGTGAACCCCAACAACCAACCCCATCAAAGAACAGGGCGGGAATCACTTATCATCAGTTGGTCATTGAGGGGAGAAATATTAACCTCTCTGTTTTCTTTCACAACAACCACAAACTTTGAACAGGGGGTAATTACAAGTCGCACATGACTTGCTTTCCCATCAAACCCTTTTAAAACAGTTAAACATTCTTTGAATTGGATGGAACATGTCAATGATTTTTTGACAGCACTGAAATATGGCGAGGAACACTCGAGCACACACGTACAACCTGCTCAGACGGCCGCCACGGCGGAGTCACATGCACGCCATTAATCACTGATACCTCCGGGTGTCAGCTGGCACGCACGTGGTTACACAACACTAATGGGCAACAGAGTGGAACTGGAAAACACAAGAGGCCAGTTTGCCTTTCCTCCCTTACTTGTTTGTTTCCTTCCAGCAGGAGGGGCGCAGAATGGTCCCAGTCGCTGTATTCTGCAGGAGGAAACCTAAAATACAAGACGTAAAACACAAGCGATGTAAGACAAATCCCAGGGAGGCACGGTAAATAAGCTAAATAGGTTTTAGAGGGATACAATTGTTCTGGTGACTCAGTTTGGGTTAATAGGTGCGTTCGGTTGCTCGGGTCGAGTGTTTCTACCAGATGCTCCTGTGCGGTGTCAATGACGCCAGAGTTTCACCCGGTTTCTCATTGATGATCAGACTTTACGCAGCGTAAATGTCTCCTCACACATAAGGGAGGTCCCAAAGAAAGCAAAATACAATCAATTTAAAGAGTAAATTCTTTAAAATCTTTTATACGGTTTACCTAAAGACTTTTTTTTAAACAATTATACTCAGCAGTTCCAACTAAACATGAAGTAGACACAACTTTACCTGGGCTACAAATCACTGAGACAAATTAAAAATAATAATAATAATCTAATCTCATGGGGTGTTGCTCCTTTGTCATTCTCCACGTAAAAGACAGCGGGACCCAAAGAATACACAGCAGGCCTCGCTCGCCTCATGTCACACAAAGTGAGCCAATACGCTGATCTCTTTACATTTCTACTTAGAGACCATGGGAGCATATTCGCTTTGTGAAGGAAAACAAGTGCAGCAAAGTAAATCATCAGCGTGGCCGTATTTCTTATTTGTCAGTGTTTGTGCCACTGGCTAGATGAGAGGAAATTGCAACGCGGTCACTTTATTCTTTTTCTGAATGCTCCACGCCATCTCTGTGGGAGAAGTCTTCACCACGCCGGTCGGTTTATGTTACAAGTGAAGGTCGGAAGCGGCGCCGCTCACACGGGGAAAACGGGTCCCGTGAGCCGGAGAACAGACGCACATCTCCCGGCCGGCCCACGTATTCATTCAGCCCTTTTATTGTTTTCCTTTCACCAACACGTCGCACGCGTTCAAAAAAATATAGAGTGTAAAATTATTTTAGAATATAACATTATACAATGCTTTTAGTCACAGCAATTGTTAAGGCCGAAACCAGACGGAAATAAGTGCGCCAAAGAGGAACCATACCTGAAGGCTCCGGATCCACCGGTCCAGCTCCATCGAGGCATTTACTTTGGTGGAGATAATGGACATTGACGCATTACAACTTCCTTACATTAATTTTTAAAAAGTGTATGTGTGAAGAAAAATAGCGCTTGTTGTTTTAAGCTATTAATCCAATTAAACCCAAAGTCCAATAAAATATTGGCCATCTTTGTTAGCTATTTAACGTTAGCCGCGCTAACGATGCAAACAGCAAGTTATCCACTTTAGCTAGCTGACAATGCTATCATAGCTGTGCTAGCCGCGGTGGCTAGATGCTAACTAAGGCGAGTGGACTAACCGTCTCACGTTGTTGGGATTCACTTTGGCGAAACACGCACACTTTTCGGTCGCACTTTGACTAGAAACTATCTAGTTTGTGAGGAATCGCTCGTCGAAGTTTCGCGGTCATTTTTTTTTTGCGTCGTTTGGCTTCCTGACGTCATCACGCAGGTGCGCGTGTTTCGGCTGCTTAGCAACGAGGAGCTCGAGGTTTCCAGGAACTGCGCCATTACTGGATGAGTGTCCTCTGCTGAGAGGACATACGTGGATCATTTGATGAGACAAACGTGTTGGAGTTTAAATCATTTTAAATATAGATGTTAATATATTTTAGGGGCTCCTCTTTAATACTTTAAGATGAGGTTAAAAGGAAATACGTATTTAATTGTGCTTTAGGGGACAATTTCTAAACAGTGTTTGTATACCACCTGGCCCCTAGAATTCTTTATGATGTGATAATGTGACTGAATTGTTTAGAAATATGAAACTTCTGAGCACATAACCGACATAGGTGGCTCGCTAAAGCTATATTTTGACCCCAAGACTCGGCTTAAGACGAGCTCATAAATGAGGAATTAAAGCATGATCTTTACCGTTTTTGGGGGATTGCTGACACATTTGTTTCAGACTTTATTTACCTAAGATAAATGAAAAATCTCACACCAGCCCAATAACACCACCTGACCTAAATCGAATAGCAAACTGTTCTCAAAACGTTTCAAAGACGCAACCACCTTTATAACATACTCAAACTCAGCTTAATTTTCGTATTAACCATTTACATTCTAATAGCGAAGACTTGTAGTTATTAATACCACGTTACTGTAAACGGGGTAAATCAAAAGTAAAATAATGTTCAACAGAATTTTAAAAAAAAATCTTGTTCTCGCCTTTTGCCAATTTCTTGCATGTTAAATGCATAATATTTAATGTGAGAAACAATGTTCTTCTCGTGTAGAATCGATGTGAAAGGTGTTTTTGGTGCCTTCGTTTGTGGCCTGGCCTCCACAAAGTCACACAGCGTCAACCAAACAAACCATCAAGGATCTCCTCTCACTCCTGGTGGCTAAACTTCTGTGAAAAACATCATTCCAAAACGATCCGGCCTTCAATCCGCAAAGGCTCATAAGGCCCATAAAACTAAGTCACGGCAGCGTTCTGAGGGCATCTCATCACGAGGGGAACGGACACCCAGACCTCGGCCGATTTCGTTTCGTGGTGCGACAGCGACACTTTGTGGCTGAAAAGTGCACCTCGGCTAGAATAGTCAAGTTATTTCTCAAAGAACAAAGTGGAGAGGAATAAATACTTTGCTGAGTCGTCTGAAGTAACATGTGATAATTAGTGAATAGATTTGTATTCTTTATATTGTTTTTCAAATTGAACACAGTGTGTTTCGGGTGGTTTCTTATTTCTCCGTAGATTTGAGGCGTTCTACTTCTCGTTTTGTGAGACGAACTGGAGGACTTTATCTAAAATGAGCCATTATAGAAATGAAGACAGTGGAAAAGAAGAAAGGCTCAAACCCAGTGAGGTCATGACAATAAGGCTTTATTTGAAGATGTGAGGAAGAACTGGCCCGTGACGGTTTGTGATGAATTAGTCGTACAAGGCGAGCTTAAGACTAAAGTCTACATCAGAGTCCCCCTTCGACATGCACGGGTTCCTCGTTTGGATGTTCATCTCGTTCTGAGCAGGACACCCGTCTACGGAGTGGCGTGTTCTTCTGTGGTTGGATTTCACATTATCTACAGCGGCCACCTGCAGAGCGACATCTACCAAATAGAAAAGCAAAGGAAAACCATGCAGGCAGGAGTGACAGTGTAGCTTGAGAAACGAACGTCAAACCTTTTGACACTCTGCTCACAGGGGGGGGGAGATCGGGGGGAGGATCCAGGCCTGTGAACGTGGAATGAAGGTGAGGAATAAGCGGCAGCTCTACTGACACCTGGTGGGGGACGTGGACACAAAGGAACAGCGAAGGCGACGTGTGAGGAGACAAACGCTGCAGAACGTTGGGTCTTATCTTCCTTTTTGATTTCACAGCTTTTCAGTTACAATGCGCCGGCGTTTTGTCACATTCCATCTCTTAAGAAAAACTTGAAAATGAAAGAAATGTGAAAACTTGGCACAGAGTGGTGACAAGGGCCACCTGGCACGGGAAACCAGGAGAAAGTAAAAGCAGGGGGGGGGGGGGGGGGTTTCACAGTATCGGCCTTCCTCTCCCTCTGCGGCCCGTTTCCTCAAAGTACATATCGGTCGCTCGGCGTGTGACGGGGAGGAAAGAAATCAAGAACCAACCGTTAAAAACATAAAAAAGGCACCCAGGCTACGGGGGAGGGAGAGGGGGGGGGGGCAAATTAGCCCCCATCCTCTCTCACACACACACACACGTGTCTTCCATCATTTATCATTCAGCAGGAAAATACAATTAAAAGAAGAATGAAGCCAAGAACCAGGTGTTGACCCGAAGCTCTGACTATGCACAGGTAGAACCACGCCAGCACACTGCAGTGGACTCCGCCCACTCCGCGTGTCTGTGTGTGTGCGTGTCAACGTCAAAAATATATCCACTCCAGCTCATCCGGGCACGGACACATACGTGTGTGTGTGTGTGTGTGTGTGTGTGTGTGAGTGAGAGAGAGATGAGGCTTTGTGCAGGTGGACGATTAATATACAATTCATCTTTATATACACAATGAAGCGGAGAGGAAGCTCCTCCTCCTTTCCACGACGAGGGGGCGGAGACTCAGAGGGGGCGGAGACTCAGAGGACGCGGGACCTCTTGCTGGCCAGCGAGCCGTGCTGAGAGAGACACAGAGACACAGACTTTAACTGTGGAAGGAGCCGCAGAGCAGAAGAGCTGAACTGTAAACATTTTCAAATCAAATTGGAAGCAATTATTAAAAATAAATATCTATTTTTATATATGTACTCTTTTTTTATAAACATTATTATATGTAGTATCATTATGGATAATGCATGTGGTCAGTTCCGGGCCCTCGGGGGCTCACCTTGGCCTGCTTGTAGAAGTGCGGAGCCAACTCGACCAACCAGGAGGACTCCACCGCCGTCACGTCACGCATGTAGTACTTTGCCGTCTGCACCACTTCGTTGAAGACGACCCTGTTCAGCGGTTTGGCGTGTTTTTAATGCGCTTTTCTTTTCACACTTAAGGAATTTACACGGGTAGCTTTGCAAACGGTTTCGTCTGGAAGCGTAGAAGTTAATCGCAATGTACGCAAGTTCTCTAGAATGGCAGAGGAACAAAAGAGCAACTGAACTCACCACTTCGGAGGTTTCTCTCCGAACAGCACAGAGTTCGGGTGGATGTGAAGCTCACGGTCGTCTCGTAAAGTCCTGCAAGGAACGAAGGAACGTGAGAGGGATTTTAAAAAAAGTTCCTTTCGTCAAGACCCACCGGGCACAGGGGGGATTAGCAGCGCTCACCTGTAGGAGCCGGAATGGTGGATGCGGGCTGCGTTGGCAAAAAAACCATAAACAATGCACCTCAAGATCACATCGGGGTCGCCTGTGCAGGAAGAGACGCAGCGAGGGAGGATTCACATCAGTTAGAGAGTTATTGCATCCATGTGGAGATGTGTCTTCACTCTGGATTTAACCCAGCCAGCCAATCGCAGGGCTCACAGACACACAACCATTCACACACACACACAGCCAATTTAGCGTTACCAACCAACCTGATCCCCAGAGCACGTCTAGCATGTTTATGATCTCAACCTTTAGTTTCAAGTCTTCAACACAGCTTCATGTTGAATCATTAAATGGAGAATTACTGGAGGCTTCAGGACCTCTCAGACCCGGGGTGACTCAGACCTCGTCACTTTGTCCTTTATTCCACGTGGACGTTTGTTCCAAATTGAATGAGATTCCCTCCGGTTGGTTCTGAGGGATCAGGTTAACCAGAGTGGACCGAAAGACGAGTCGCTTCGAACCTTCGCTTGAAGTTCGCGGCACCTTGAACTTGTTCATGAGGCGGCGGAGCTGCTCGCGCACCGTCACCGCCCGCAGCAGACCCTTATAGTTGAGGAAGTGCTCCTGACACCACTGGGAGCTCCTCTGGTGCTGCAGGGAAGAGGAGACAAGAGTCTTCATCAGAGGCAAGTCTTTTCTGCTGAGTCTCCCCCCCGTCACCGGCTGAGCGGTGTACCTTAATGAAAGCCTCGAACACATTCAGCATGGTCAGGTGGTCTCCCTCGGCAACTGCAAATTTCCTGTGCTCTCGGGCCTAGCGGGACGGCAAGAAAACCAAAAAAAAACATAAAGTAAAGCTGACAAAGCTTCTCTGCCCAAAGCAGCACACGACAACTTTTTATGTTGTCCTTTTCACTTACGGCAGCTTTCTTCTGATTGGACGGAACCACAAAGATATTCTGTATCTGCATCATCGCCGCGATGGTGACGACCTCTTTGGAGCAGCCGAAGCTCCCCGACTCCAGGAGCATCTTGGCGAACATCGGACTGAGCGGGAACTCGGCCATGCGCACGCCCATGGGATCGGTCAGGCGTCCGTAATGGTCCAGACCTGCGGGGACGGACCCAACTGGTTCAGGTCTTTCACGCATATTTTAACCTGCCTTTTAAAAAAGTATCATTATTCCTAATTTTAAGAAGAGAGGCTTTTATTTTGAAGCAGCTCCGGTGTTGGGAGACGTTCTATGTCCTTACCTCCCAGTGCGTAGAGCAGCTCCAGAGCCTGGACCATGGTCTGAGCTGGAGGGGGCTGCAAGGTTAGAAGTCCTGTTAGATCTTTTAAAGCACAAACACACATAAATGTGACGGTTTCTCTGCCGCCGCCCCACCACTACTCACCGACAGGAAGCTGAACCGCAGCACGTTGTCGATGCCCAACGCTTTGAGCTGCAGGATGACGGGGGCCAGGTTGGTGCGCTGCATCTCCGGCACAGTCGAGGCCGGCAGCTTCTCAAAGTCCTCCTCTGAGAAACACGGGGGAATATCTTCATCAAGTAGTCATGATTAACATCTACATGTTTAGTCATTTCCTCATAGACGTCTATGGGACCAGAAGAGTCGCCCCCTGCTGGTCACTACACAGAATGCAGCTTTAGACCTTGCTTCACTTTCTGGATCTGGAGGTTGGCCGCCTGGTTCATCTTGAGTGCACCTGGGACGTTTGAGCACACCACTTTGATGTTCTGTGACCCCGGCCCCACCCCCCCCCTCACCTGTGTAAAGCCTGAAGCACTTCCCAGGGCGGTTGCGTCCGGGTCTGCCGGCCCTCTGGCTGGCAGAAACCTTGGAGATGGGCGTGACCACCAGCGACTCGATGGGCGTGCCGGGGTTGTACGCTCGCAGCTTCACGAACGCACAGTCGATGACGAACACGACCCCGTTTATGGTGATGGAGGTCTCGGCTATGTTGGTGGCCACCACAACCTGCAGGAAACACCAGTTAGAGAAACACTGATACCATTTCAAGCCCATTCTTTTACTGTTGGTGAGGCGACACGTTGTCGCTCTCAGAATGTTCAATAAGAATTTACCTGCAGCAGAGCACATATGTGGAAGTCATGGTTTTATGTCATTTTAGGATCCATCTGCTGTTTCTTTATATATATATATATATATAAATATATATATATATATATATATATATATATATATCTATTAATTATTGAAATAAAAATGTTAATGTACAGCAGTTTCAGCTACATATACTATAAAATAAAAATGATTACCTTCATGATTATTGATATCCACGTCAACAAATGATCTTGTTCAATGAGTTCAAATGTATCCACAAGAATCAATGTCAAGAATTTTACTATTTTACTTATTATCAGCGACCAACATGAACAAATTTAGGTGGAACAAAAGAAGAGAAATCAAATAGTGAAAGTTCAAAGGTCACTATGAAACGCACCTTTCGGACGGACGGCGGCGTCCTCTCGAACACCTTCATCTGCTCGGCGAAGGACAGACCCGAGTACATGGGCAGAACCTTCAGGTGCTTCTTCATGCCGTACCGCGACAGAGTCCGGGCCTGCTCCTGCAGGAGGGACACCACCTTCTCCACCTCCTCCTGACGGAGCCGTTTAAATAAAAAGAGACGATGACAAGAAGTGAGACCCAAGAGAAAAGTGGACAAAAAAAAAACAAGTGCAGTGTCAGAGTATTTAAAGTCTACATCAAGTTCAATGACTAAAGGGTAGAATTCAAATACTTTACACTCAAATGTCTCCATTAGACATTAGAGGTCAGCACTATTACACGCACACGCATGTTAGTTTGCCGTGGTTGAGCCACTCTTTAAAAAAAGAGTAACAGCAGCACCGACCTGCCCGGTGAGAAAAGCCAACACGTCCCCGTCGTCCTCCGTCTCGTGGATCTTCAGCACCGTCTCCACTGTGGCCTTCACGTAGTCCGGCACGGGGCTGAGGGCGGAGGGAAACCACGCCGTCACAAGACAACACCCCACAGGAAGTGACACGGCGAGGGGGTCGTGCGCGCCCACTACCTGACGGTGTAGAAGACGTCCACCGGGAAGGTGCGTCCCTCCACCGTCAGAATCCCGCACGTGTCCTTGTTGGGGTCCCCGGACTCGTTCAGGTTGAAGAAGTCGTGAAATTTCTTCAGGCGCAGGTGATAAAAGCCGTTAGTTTAAAAAGGAGTGATGAGCTGTCAATCAATCTGACATCTTGTGCAAAAAGAAAAGAGAAAATGAAGTGATGACTGAAGAATAAAATGTGTGTAGGTGGTTGAACAGGAAGTCGGTCACACATGCAGCTCTGCTGCTTTAACGCTGAGCGCATTATGCACGTTGCCGCTCTGGCCAATCAGGCGCGTCGGTTCATCTGAATGACGCAGTCACCTTGGCATCCAGAGTGGCAGACGCCACGATCAGCCTCAGGTCTCGCCGCTTTTTCTGAATCTGTAGGAGGAGTAGGAGGGGAGGTGGGGAGGGGGAGGAGTCAGGGAGGAAACTTGAAAAAGACACAACTTTGCAGGATTTTTTGCAAAGCATAAATTGGAGTGAAAAGGTAAAGTTTCATATCTGAAAAACCTTCTTGAGCAGACCGATGGCGATGTCTGTGTACAGCGTTCTCTCGTGGGCTTCGTCCAGCATCAACACGCTGAGGAAATCAGCGCAACAACGTCAGGGTTAAAGAAAGAATGAGTCGAAAACGTTTGGGTGTTTTTGTCTAAATAATGCTTCATTGGTTCCCAGTTAGCTGGATAGCGTAGCATCAGAGCGTGCTGGTCCTGAAGCTGCGAATGGACACTTCCTGTTCCCTCGTCTTGTTATGCGCTTTAAAAGGAGCTGGAGCATTTTAACTTTTCTGTGATGCAAAAGATTATTTCTCTGTAGTAATCCAAAAGCCGACGGAAGAATCTTATTGGCGTTCGTTGGAGGCAAGCAGATGGTAACTTCCTGTCAGAAGGGTCTCAGTGGGAAGACGCCCCCCCCCCCGAGCCCCTGAGCCTCCTGCTGCGGTGGTGAATAGAACAGAACATTGAATATCGAAATTCCAATCACGTACCTGTACTTCTTCAGGAGAGGATCGGCCATCATCTCCCGGATCAGCATGCCGTCTGTCAAGAACTGAAGCACATGGGGGGAAATGAAGCAGTGAACCAAACACTGGGCGGCCTGAGGCAACGACTTCCAACATCTGGCGGTCGGGGGGGGGTGGGGTTACCTTAATCCTCGTGGCGTGGGGATCGGAGCAGTCGTCAAACCGGATGGTGTATCCCACCTCGTGTCCCAACAGGGCCCCCCGCTCCTCCGCTACCCGGTTAGCCACCTAACAGCAGGACAAAGGGGGTGTGGGGGGGGGGTTAGCAGGTGTCCTTCAACGGGACCTAAATCTCTTGCAGCACATCCGCGGGGGTGGGGGTCTTACGGAGATGGCGGCCACGCGGCGGGGCTGTGTCACACCGATAACCTTCCCCTCTGCAGCCCAGCCGGCCTCCAGCAGGTACTGGGGGGATTGGAAACAGAAAGGCGCGTCAGAGGCCCCCGGCGGGGCCGAACAGCGGACTTGGCAGAATGAAAAAGAGGCTGCTAAGCACCAATCAAGGTCATGTGAAGCCTCCGCGCAGGGCGCCACGCCACTGCAGCCAACGTCGACACTCGCTTTAACTCAATCACAAATGACATTATATAGTCAATCTGCGAGACATAGATTGGTGAAGTGAAGGGCGGGCAGAGGAAATCACACAGGACATAAAGAGGCTCGTTTCCTCTCAAAAAGGTCCCACAACCTGCGGCAGCTGCGTCGTCTTCCCGCATCCCGTCTCCCCGACGATGATCACCGTCTGGAAGCTCTCCACCAGGTACAAGATGTTGTTTCTGTGCTGAACGGGACGCAGGGAACAACACGTTAAAACACGCCATCCGAACACACACACACACACACACACACACACACGCGCGCGCGCTGCGTCTGCGACGTTCAGGGGCGGCGCGGAACCTTGAAGACCGGGAGCTTCTGCCGCTGCTTCTCGATGGAGAGGGCCGTGTGCGGGTTGAAGATGACCGGGGAGCCGCTGGACTCCGCGTGGAGCTCGCGCTCCTCCGAGATGCCCGGAGCCTCGGAGCCTGCAGCGGGGCGGGCGGAGAGCAGGCGTTCGGTTCACCGTTAGCGCCGCAGTCGTACTTTCGTATGCTGCATGTTGTCGGGTTGTACTTTCAGGCGGGCGCGAACGCAACCGACACCGGGACCGAGAGCGAGACCGACCGACGTTAACGAGCAGCTTTTACCGGCAATGATGAAAAGCAGAAAACCGGACGTTAAATGCCTCGTATAATGTCTTTTAACCGTACTTACCCGGCTTCCAAAATTTCATCGTGGAGAGGGGAGAAGCCATCTTGGATTTACGTCACGTTTTGTTTTTTCTTTTTTTAAATTTGCCTTTACGGCGTCACTGTTTTTTTTTCTTCCTCTGTAGACTACGTCATAATCTCTATTTTATGAATGACGCCGAACAAAAGTTTAAAAGTAATAATTATATGCATATTAAAAGATATCATAAATGAGTCTCAAGTGTCTCAAAATAACGTAGATTCTCAATATGATTTAATATCTTAAAATATGGATTGTGTTAAGTATGAAAAATAAAGAAATATTTTAAAATAACGACGTAATGACTGATTTTGTATCTTAAAATAATGTGTAGCAAAGTGAATATCGACAAAATTATGACATGACTTATGTTAAAATAAGTTAATAAGCTTATTAAAATATATTACTCAACATCCCAAAATAACAGTTATGCAAACAAACGTCTGGTCAAAAAAAAAAAAAAAGGTAATTGAAGCTCTCGCCCGGCGGCAAATCTGCAGACCGGACACGGACGCTGCGCCCGACGGGGGGCTGAAGAGGCGCGAGGCTGCGGGAATAAACACGCTCAATGCGTCACACTTGGTCAGCTGTTTGCGCGCGAATTACTCTTGATGAAATTATAATCAGACCCCCCCTTTAAAAGACTCTTCTAATCTGCACGATAGGAGAAACCAAATTAAGACTTTAAAAGGTAGAATACTTTTAAAGACACTTGTTCTTTCCTTCCACGCTGTTAGTTTTACAAAGATGACGCAACCCGCACTGAATACTATTACTCAAATTAGCTTAACCGATAACATTTAATATTACCATATAAACAATTTAACAGGATGCGATTTGGGGAACGAGTACTTTTACCATTTTTATTTTAGCTGCAAACATTTCTGTACTAAAGTAAAATGACTGATATTGAATCATTTAAAGAGCAACAATTATTTCTATTTCGGCACTTAAATCAATTAAATTTCCGTAATCTGGAGTTAGCATTGAATGCATTGTGCTAAACCTTTAGTATAAAATATCTTAAAATAAAAAGATGCAATCTATGTGAAAATGGAGGCCCAATAAACTCCATGTTTAATGAATCCCAAAAGATTTGATCAGAAAAACAAACAATCCTTTCAGGGCATATCAGTCAATGACAATAACTCTTAACCGTAATTAAGAGTTCACTCAAATACTGACATATGTTGAGATGCATAACATAAGTACAAATACATCTGAAATACATGGTGGGTTTGACAAAACTGACATTGTACAGAATTTACAGACAAGTTTAAATTAATTTCAAAACTAGTAAGACTCATCCGGAAGCTACGTGTTAAAATAACACATGTATTATTTCTACCCTCCTAACTAATGCAATCAATAATAAAATTACACCCTGATGTTACAGCAACTCGTGCCGGTGAACGTTTTCCCGTTTTCTTCCCGCTCCGCCTCAAGGACGCAGACGGTTATTAGTTCCACACTGACGTAACCATGGCAACGGGTTCGGATGTCAGGCGATCGCTGCAGCCACCACCGATGTTAAAATTAACACGAGTGGTCAGGCTGCGACCTTTAAACCTTTGCAGGACACCAGACTTTTTAAAAATAAACAATTGACATATTTATTTTATTGGAAAATGCTTGTTTTTTTTTTTTATCCGGTGAGCAAAACATGCATTGAAAAAAAAAAAAAAAACAACTCTAAACAAAAACATGGAAGCTCTGATTTTCCTTAAAAACACATGAAGCTTAAAATGTACAGAAACACTGGTAACCTTGACGATAACCTTCAATGTGCTGCCGTGCCCCTTCAAAGTAACCAATTGATCAGATTTTTTCCTAAAATGGCAAAAAAATTTCAGGGTTTCAATTTATTTAAGTGATGCCACAAACAGTCCGTTAAAGGTAGTTCTAATGAATCCAAAACGGTGCGTTCAATTGTTCAATTAAAAAGGAGACACTTTCTGCTCAGGGACTGATTGAAGCTAAATAAACTACACAAGGACGCGCCACTCGTCATGTCTACGAGCTCATGGTGCCCCCCTCAGGCAGCACAGAGGCCGACGGATACCCGTCTGCGCCATCGCAGGGCCAAACATCCATTAGTGTTCTGAAGAAGAGGTGGAGGAGGAGGAGATCTAAATTAATAGGTTAATGAAACGAAGGGGGCCTTCTAAAAGTGAGCCGCCATATTGGATCTCGAACAACGGGGTGGTCTTGCAGGATTTAAAAAGAAATCGATCTTGGATTTCCCATGATGCACTGCACACTGAATAGCCATACTGTATGCGGGGGCGTCGAGGCGCCTCCGTCAGAGGCGATTTCCCCTCGACTGAAATGTTCGTGTTTAGCGTCCCGGGTGGGGGTCCTCTCAGTCAAAGTGCAGCGCTGTGTAAAAGATTATCCACACCACCTGGAGACGGGGAGACGACAGCGATCAGACAGGAAGCACGAGGTCAGGTCACTAAAACAAATCCTTCCCCTTTTGACCTTGACGGTTAGTCGCCAACGAGTCCAATCAGACACCTGAATCATTGTTCGTTGAAATGTTAAAAAATATTTTCTCCAAAGTAAAATGAAAGCACCGATTGTTCAAGAGGAAAACGTACATCATCTTATTAGGAAAGACCCCGAATGCACCGTATTTAACATAAAAGGCCTTGACACGCGTTTCATTTAACAACATCCTCACCAGAAACAGAGCGAACGACGTCATGAAGCCTTCTTTGGTGAGCTCCCACGTGCCGCCGTACTCCTCCTCGTCGATCTGCTGGAAGCTGCTGAAGTAAACGTACAGCACGCCGGCGTTGATGACGCAGAATCTGAACGGGAGAGAAAACACGTTTGAGAGAGCTGGGGGGGGGGGGGGGGGGGCCAAATGAACAGGAAACTTTCATGGGGATTCCCCGGAATCCCTTCAGCGGGGCGACGCCCCAAATCACGCCCAGGATCACGGCGAAGAATTGCCGGAGCCCGTAAATGACGTCCCAGAACTCATCCCGCAAATACAATAAAAAACACGAGCCTGAATTAAAATACCCACCACTGACCCGATGGGAATCTACACGGCACCAGAAACCCCTCACCTCTATGTGGGTCCCTTCTACTTCAAAATCTCAGGTTTAGAGATCTGTGGATCCACAAAAATCATTTTGAAAGGTAGTGGGACTGAAGTGTGGGGATGGAAACCTTTCCATCTCTCTGGGTCCGATGCGCGGTAATTGGAGCGGGGTCCTGCTTAAGGTAACCGACATTTACAGGCATCACATTTGTTCATCTTTAAAACTTTTCATTTGAACAACTGGAGTTTTAATTAGGGCTGT